TGTATGTGTGTATGTATGTTTATATATGTATGTATGTGTGTGTGTGTATGTTTATATATGTATGTATGTGTGTGTATGTGTGTATGTATGTTTATTTGCGTGTGTGTGTATGTTTATATGTGTGTGTGTGTGTTTATATGTGTGTGTGTGTGTTTATATATATGTGTGTGTGTGTGTTTATGTGTGTGTGTTTATATATGTGTGTGTGTTTATATATATATGTATGTTTATATATGTATGTATGTTTATATATGTATGTATGTTTATATATGTATGTATGTTTATATATGTATATATGTTTATATATGGATGTATGTTTATATATGGATGTATGTTTATATATATGTGTGCGTGTGCGTGTGCGTGTGCGTGTGCGTGTCCTAGTCTTAATTTGCGTGTCTGAACATCTGTTTAAGTGTTCCTGCGTGCTACTAGTAATGTGTGTATGAATGTGAGTGAATGTGAATGGTAGTCTGAGTATGATTGCATGTGTTTGAATATAAATTTGTAAGTAGAAGCACGAGAGTTTCGAGTAAGTGTGTGTGTCTATTAGTGTGTGTGTGTATCTGCGGATGTGTGTACGCGATTGTAAATAATTATGAAACTGTAGAAAGTAGTCAAGGATACTGAGGAACTGAGGGAGCAAGACTAAATTGCGTGTGCGAGTGTCTGAGTACGGCTGCGTGTGAGTAATAGTATAAGTATGGATGTGTGTGAGTATAAGTAAGTGTATTAAAGAGTTAAAATGTATGTAAGTGGGTATGAGTGTCTGAGAATGAATCTGTGGGTCAGTATGATTGTCTTTGAGTATGTCTCTCTCTCTGAGCAAGAGTGTGAGTGAGTCTGTGCGAGTGCGCGAGTATGCGTGTGCTGGAGTTTGTGTGCGCCGTCTGCATTTGAGTGCGTGTAAATAGACAAGAATTTTGAAACAGAAAGTAGTCCGAGATGCTATGTAACCGAGTGTGTCAGTCTTGTTTGTTTGTACAAGGATAATGAGACACTGAATTTCGAATCTGAAGAAAGTAGTCAGGGGGGGGAGGGGAGAGGGGAGAGGGAGAGGGGAGAGGGGAGAGGGAGAGGGGAGGGAGAGGGTGACCATAATCACAATCTCAGGCTAACCGTTTGATAAGGTAAATTTCCCAAGTACCTAAAGAAGATATGATTTAGTGAAAAGGTGCCAGTCATGATCGGCAGAGATGAGAGCAAATAAATGTAATATCAGCGCAGTAACACGTGAAATGATGCTTGGTGCCAACTTATGTTGCTGTGCGCATCTTGCCAGACGTTGTGCCTGAACTTTGGGTTTTCTTGGGAAAGCAGTAATTGGTCTACGTGATTCTGCAGTTTTATTCATTTGTTGTTTGTATGGTCTTTCCAATTCTGACGAGCGATGGGATGCATGTCCAACGAGCCTCTGCGAATATTTATCTTTCCGCCACCCTCAGCTTGCGATTTCCTCTCGGCTCCACGCTATGCCAGAGGTAACCCCATTTCACAAAACAACCGTGGTATTTTATGAGTTGAGAAGCCAGCCACTCTTCCGACTTCACCAATATGTTCTAGGGTGTGTGAGGAGTGCCGTGCGTGCTTATGGATACTAATTACATGTACTAGTTAATGCACATACACATCTTTGTTTACAGACTACACTCGTCTCTCTCTCTCTCTCTCTCTCTCTCTCTCTCTCTCTCTCACACACACACACACACACACACACACAAAAAAAAAAAAAAAAAAACGTACGTACAGCTCATGCATATACAGACACACACACGTACCAATATACACAGATTCACATTCACTCATTCATTCTCTCACACTAACACGAACACACGCGAATACACACACTCAGAGATATATACTCATTTCAACACACAAAATAACCTCATACCAACATGGCAGAGTATGTATACGCGGAGGTGCTGGAGTGTGTCCTGGCGGTGACGTCCGGTTTGCGTGATTCAGGTAGAACAGGTGTATTACGTCATAACCCGGATATATATGAATGTAAGTATATTTTCATATTAGTTATATGTACATTATGTTACATATCTCTTAAGCACAAGTACATAATAAATTGCCCAGAATCTTTCATATAACGTACAAAATTACGCACATCCAACATTTTGCAATGTTTATCCAAGTACATACTTTGGATTGCACGTCATGCAACCCTTTCATCCAAGTGTGCGTTAAAACATACAGAACCACCATGGCATACACTAAAAGTGGACCTTTTACACAATAAAACACTATGTATTGTGCGCGCATGCACAGACGTACGTGAGTATCGCATACATACACATGGACAGACGTACAACACGTGAAGTACTGACATTGATGTATATTGCACAATGTGCGCGCAACAAACACACACACACACACATGGGTACCAATGAGCGCCGTGGGCTGTGCTAATTAAGTTTCACGTTCTGCTAGGTGTTGATAAGTGTTATTGTGATGGGGTTTGTCCGTTGTAGACACCCTTTCGTTGTTGTACCTGTAATGAGGATTGCCAGGTGTGTTTTATCCCAGCTCCATGCATCTGTGAACTTACAAAACAAGTGTTCTAAAAAAAAAAAAAAAAAAAAGACGGTTACTTGTGATCAAGTGCTTATTCGTAGGTATGGTAGTCTGGGCCTGAATTTTACACTCAAGACAAAGCGTTATTGTGGCTTCTGCGTACTTGTTAATGATCACCAAGAATATACTATAGACCGGTAACACGCACTATTGGGCAATTTTTAATACGCTGTGATTTTTTCTAGAAAGGTCCTTGGCAGTTCAAAATTGTTTTGAGTATTAGACACGTTACAACCCCTGTTGCATATTTCTGGATGCAGGCATGAAGCGCCGCCCTTTTAGATTTCGTAAATCACTTTTTTGTGCCCTGACCTAGTCTACTTGCTATGCATGTCTGATTTACGAAAACTCAGATTATTTTAGCTTCAGTACCTAGTTAGACCTCGAAAACATTTTTTCCCCACATCATATTTTAACATTCTACGAACCGACCTTAGGTTCAAACACTACGGCTTCTAGCATTTCCAGTAACAGACCGCCTCGGTTGCAAGACTTTCTTGACAAGAAAGACTAAGTTGGTTCCAAAAGTGTAAACTGCAGAAATATTGACCTTTTATCTGCCAACTTAAATGTACCCATCACCTTCGAGTACCTTTTCCGGAACAATGTGTTCCACCAAAATAGGCACACCCTTGCCTGCTTCCCCAGTGCATTCTTAGGATGTTCACTGCTTCACGGTCCCCACATCGCTAGTAATTTCCTAAAGTGTGAAGGGTTTAGTAATAAAAGATTTGAATCTTTCTTGATCTTTTTTATTCAATACAACATGACATCCGGTCCTCAAATTACTAATGGAGTCCTGGTGGTGGGGTGAAGCATCCGCAGCGGCTCCCCCGCCCCCGCCACCCACACCCACTACCAACAATACTAGTGCGACCCCACCCACCGCCCACCGGCCACCACCACACCGTCCGCCGCCCGAGGCCAGCGCCCCCGAAGCCACGTGTGGGTGCCAGGGGGAGGCTTAGGCCGAGGGCGGGGCGGAGGGCGGGGCGAAGGACGGGGAGGGGCCTGGCTGGTGGAGGCTAAAGGTGGCTGCTGGGGCTCCGGCCCGCCCCTCCTGCACCTTCACCAGGAAACCTTAGCTCGAATGCGGCAATGTTTGAAAAGAGCGAATGGGCTTGTCAGGAGCTGCGGCTGCTTGCTAGTGCCGCGGCGGTGGCACAGCGCGCGCGGCACCAGCGCCGGGAGGAGGAAACAGGCTCACAAGTCAAATGTTTATATAAAAAAGGGGGCCCAAACATGACAAAAACTAATGATATCAATTAACACTTTTTTTTCTTTTTTTCTTTTCTTTTTTAAATGGTGCAGTGATGGGTGGATGGGGCGGTACGGGGCGGCCGGGCGGCACAGCTGCCCCTCGCCGCCCACACCCCGGAGACAACAGGAGCAACAACACCTGCTGCTGCTGCTGCTGGTGTTGTAGTGGTGATGGTAGTGCGGGGACGCTCTGCGGTACCGGGTCTCACTAGCTGAGGGGGTGGGGGTACGGGGCCCGGCGGGGAGGGGAGGGACACCCACTGCATGCCCGACCCCCGCTCATTAGAGGGGAAGGGGGAGGAGGGGGCTGGCGAGGGGGGCCGGGGACATGGGGCGGACGGGCGGCGGGGGCGGGAGGAAGGCGTGGGAGAGGGTGTGGTAAACTTGACTACGGCCTCGTATCAGCCGATTTTTGCGGTCGGATTTACCACTTCCCTCTCCCCCCACACTCCCCCCCACACACGCCACGCCTCGCCCTGTTCCCTCGGCCTCCCTACCCCCCGCCCTCCTCCCCCCAGCATCTAGAGCAGGGTCTGGGAGGGGGGGCGACCGGCAAGTGCCACCCCCACCCACCCTAAGCACGCACGCCCGGGGGGGCAGACCGGCGAGTGCCTCCACGCCCCCTCCCCGCAGGTCTCCGCTCACCTATCGTACCACACTAAAACAAGATGAAGAGGCGCGAGGGGCCCCACCAACCCAAGGCGGGGTCCTCGTCCTCACAAAAACATAGCAAGTTTTAAAGGAATGTTCATCACGTTGTGTAGTTGTGTCGAGTGTCGCAGTGTCTGGGTCGAGATACACAACGGAACTACACCAACGCACCAGCAATATAAGGATTCCCCCAAATGAATCTAAAATAGCCAAGCAGGGTGGGTACCCGGCGCCGCACGCCCATCCCACACCGAACCCATCGCTAGCGCCCGCCCACACCCCAAGGTAGTAGGCGGAGCCAGGACCGAGTGGTTGGGAGGCGGGCGTGGTTGCCATGGTGACCATCCTGGGCGCTGCACCCCAATGGGGCTTGACAACAACAAAAAATTAGAAGCTTAACTACAATCCGCCGTCAACTGTTGAGACCCTGATAAGCATGGCAAGAAAGAATTGAAAGAAAAAAAAAAACACTTTCTTTACATGACATGTTGCAAGAAAGACGAAAAAAACTTTTGAAAGAACTGTATTTCTCCTACACAATTATAATTATAATCATAATATCCATTATTTAATCAGCATGGTCTATCGTAATCATAAGTGGTCAAGCTCGCTGGCAGAGGCAACAGAGCCTTTGCACAAAGCGGCAATGTTAACAAACAAGTGATGTAAACAATGCAGGGAAGTGGTGGTTGGGAAACAGAAACAGTCATGGTTGTGTGACGTGCCTTACATTAGTATTATGTAGTACAAGAGGAAATTTTTTCAACTTCATTTTTGTTTTTTGCAATATGTATACATTTGCTATTCCTTTAAGAAAAATTGACAAAGACACACCTAACAAGAAATTACATGATACGGAAATGTACCAACTTCATTCAACCAACACAAAAATACAGCGCACCCTCTCCTTCCTTTCTTATTTACCAGAGAAACTGACTTCCAGACAAACTAAAATAAAAAAGGCATCGCAAGGCAGCGATCTTCATTAAAAAGAAAAAAATTCTAAGAGGAATTTCAAAAAAGGTCCAAAGTAACCCAGCCTGACCATTGGCCAGACGGGATACTATCCTCTTATCAAATATATTTCACGAACGCAATGGTTCTCTTAACTAAAAATAATAATTTTGCTACAACAGCTTGTAAAAACTGACCAACCTATTTTTATATATATTTCCATTCTTATACAGAACTGGACAGACAAAATGAAAACTTAAGGAAAGAGCCAAGTAGTCTTGAGAGACGAGTAAAGGGTGGCTGGCCTCTTGGGTGTTCAAAAAAGTCTTCACGTTGTTCAACAATGATGGAGGAGATAACGGCGAGAAGTCTTCGCAGCGACAGTACCCACCAGCGCCTCGGCCAGCGTTGCGTCGCCGGTCACGGCCACTCGCGTGACCCGCGACCTGGCAACCTTCACGACGTCAAGGTGGCGGAAGTGAAGAGGTCACCCGGGGCGGCCGGCCAAGCCAAGCCGGGCTCGCGGCGGCAACCACAACAGTCGGATGGCGCCACCGCGGCGGCTTCGGCAGAGGCACGGGTTCGCACCTCGGCCGCCCGAACGGCTACATGGGAGAGCACACCTTGAGGGCGGCGGACGCGAGCTGGCGGCAAGATCTTCCAGGCTGCCCCAGTGGGTCTGACGACGACGTCCACGAAGCCTCCCTAACCTTTCATCACAAAGTATCGCTTGCTACTTCGAGTATATATTCATATAATATACATAAATGTATGTGTAGTATATATATATAATCACTGGTTAAATAGCAATATATTTTCCTTTTTTCTTTCCAGAGGTCCAGCCACCCGTGACGCAATCCCTAGGACAACCAACCCATCTATAACGGCGCTACCGCTACTGACAGAGAGTCACTTACTCCTGCCAGGGGGATAAGGTTCAGCCACGTCCCGTCAGCATCCTCCACGCCCTCGTCTGGCGCACACCCCACACTGACACGCTCTTTTCCGTTGGTTCTGATCGAATTTCGCTTTTCCAATAGTGGTCTCAAAAGGTGTAGTCCGATTTTTACCGATCTTATTTTTCTTTTGCTTGTCCAATTTGGCTTCGAATTTCATTCTGCAGGCGGACGAGAGATTCCTCAACGGCCAACCTTACTAGCAACCGAAAAAGGTCTTGGTTGTGGCTGCCTGCTCGCTTGCTTTCTTGCTGTTTTAGTCGTTTTTGTTCTTGTTGTAGCTGGTGTTCTGCTGGCGGGGTGAGTTAGGCTGGAAGAGGGGCGAAGGGGGAGAGAGGGAGTTGGGGCCGTGGTCATAGTAGTAGGAAAAGTGGTAGAAATAGTAGTAGTAGTAGGAGGCGTCAGAACAGAGGAAGGGTTATAGTAGTAATAGTAGTAGTAGTAGTAGTAGAAGTAGTAGTAGTAGTAGTAGCAGACGTAGAAGTAGTGGTGGTGGTGGTGGTGGCTGCTTGATACTGCTGCTGGAAACTCTAGCCGAGAGCCAGATCGTGTATATGAAGGCAATAAGAGTTAGCAATTAAGAGATAGTGACGACTCGTGTATTACAATGTTTTTTTTAGCGGTCCGTTAACAAGATAAATTGGAAAGCAGAAAAAACTGTTCGTTTGAAATTTGTTTACAATATTTAGGAGGCGCGATCACTTCACTTCGAGGTCATCATCGTGACGAACTCTGTTGGGGAGAGAAAGAAGAGAGAATTACACATTTCATAAAACACTTGTTTTAAATATATGCAATGCAAAAGCAGCAAGTGTGTGTACGTACACGTGCATAACGTGTATTCATGTATACACCCGTGTACACGTCACATATATACACGTGTACGTACACGTGTATACATGTGTGTACGTACACGTGTATACGTAATGTGTGTGTACTGTTGTGTATATGTGTGTGTACACGTGTGTACATGTGTGTGTGTACATGTGTGTACGTGTGTGTGTATATGTGTATATGTATATATATATATATATATATATATATATATATAATATATATATATATATATATATATATAATATATCACAAAGTGCAAAAAAGACTTCCACCCAAAAGCAACGAACTACGTACGAGAGCACACCCAAAATTTCATAAGAGGTAAAAAGTAGTATATCATGTACTTCTCTGCATGAAAACGTACCAGCTGCAGGTGCACCAGGACAGTTTGGTAACTCAAGCACCGTCACGGTACTCTCAACTACCTCTCACCAGCGGAATCCTCAGCTCGGCCACCGATACAAAATTTCACAATGGACGAAAACCCCAAACAGGCAGGCACGCACTGACACACACACATACACACTATCCATATATATATGTATAAAACTTTCAACTGACGCCTCGAACACACACACGTAACTGTATTCAACCAACACCCACATTTCTCCTCCTCTCTTCACAAACAAACAATTACGTTTCGTGGGAGTTAGTATGATTACGTCATGCTTCCCCATGCCTTACTAGACTCGCACTGGTTTGAAGATCCCCTCTTTTGAGAGCTCACAAGAACTTCCACAGACATTATACGAGAACCACGCCCACAGCCACAGCCTCAGTCACATCTCTCATCTGAACGTGGACATAAGCGACTGGAAAAGATTATAAGCCCCAATAACAGGCCCTTCGGCAACAGACCTGCGATTTGCAAACACCCACACATCCAATCAGCCTTCACAAACAACCCACACATCCAACAATGGCCGTATCTATAAATATTAAAAAACAACAACGAAATTTGAACAAAAGAACGGAGACAGAACAAGGAAAGTACATAAAAGCGAAACTAACAGCTATTATTAAGGGTTAAGGTCGGCCAGCCACGGCCCGACGGGGGGGGAGGGGCCGCAGGTGGCGTCTCTACTTAGAAGTCATCATTCGCACGAATTCTGCAAAAGAAAGTCGGACGGAAAGTCTGAGGGCGACTCATGCAGGGCAAGAAAAAAAAACATAAAAAGAAATAAAATATAAACAAATAAAAAAAGATATAAAAAATAAAGGTCTACTTCTATAGTTTCACTATAAGGCAAAATAAAATGCAAATAAACAAAATGACAGATGGCAGTCCAGCACACATTTGTGTGCTGGTTTCTCAGTTCATGTGTATCATCATCAAAGGACAACTACAAAATAAATGCTACTAGGTTTAGCAAAATTAAAATCTGATAAACTACTAATCTCAAATGTCTACAAACCAAAGAAACTAAAAAGGTGAGAAAAAAGGAAAAATAATCATGCAACGTGAAGAGGGTGTTAGTGCATGCGTAGAGTGCAAAAGAAAGTGGCAGGTACTAGTGCAACTCAAATAATGACCTTGAAATGCGGAAAGGGGGTGGAAGGGTGAGAAGTAGAAGAGGGAGAGAAAAGAAGGGGGGAGGTAATTAGCCACCGATGGGGTGCTTAGATGTGCCATGCAAACGACGCCGATTTTTGCTCCCAATTCAGCCAATGTATCCTACGAGACCAGCCCTGGACTTCTTACCAGGAGCCCTCCACCTTCAATTTCCAGGCACATATAAAACGAAATTTATATATAAATATATATATTAAGGTAAATTCTGGTAGTTACCAATAGCCATACCACCTTGAAAGGTTAAAAGAAAGGTTAAAATGGTTGTCCCTCCTCGACACACCACTTCTGCAATGCATTCTGCACGAGCTGGGAGTGGCTTCAGCGTCTCCCTCCCATTTTTTCGAGTCTTATTTTCCTAACTCCCATGCTCTTTATAATTTGTCATCATCTCCATTCTCAACCTTTGCAAGGCAAACTATCGGCTTTCTGAAGTCCAATCAGCAGTGATTACCGCACACCTCACGCAGACCCTTAAAAGTGCTATTGTGCAGAAATTGTATACCATCTCATGCAAGCCCCTACAACCCACACTCTCTTCCTCAAGCACTCAAAGGGGGAGTTTTTTTTTTTTTTGCTTCTTAATAAACCCAAATTTCCCTCGATTTCCAAGCACCGAGTGTTTCCGTGAGCTGCCAATAGATCCATCCCAAGTTCTACCTCTGAGAAGACTCACAGGTGGAACTGCACACTATCCAATAAATAAGTGAAAAGGTCGCAGCGAGGGCCACAAGCCTTCGCCCTGGACCTTTTGAACTTACCCTCATAATTGACCTGACCGTCGCCGTCAATATCGGCTTCCCTGATCATCTCATCGACTTCCTCGTCAGTCAGCTTCTCTCCGAGGTTGGTCATCACGTGCCTGCAGAAACAAGGTTCATAGAGAAGGCGTCGCGGACAGGAATAACACCGGCAACATATTCAATTAAAATAAGAGCTTTGTCACGCCTTGAGGAAAAGGGTCCAGTGTCCAGTGCCCCTCCAACTGACCTGAGCTCGGCCGCAGAGATGAAGCCGTTGCCGTCCTTGTCGAACACCCTGAAGGCTTCCCTGATCTCTTCCTCGGAGTCGGTGTCCTTCATTTTGCGGGCCATCATGGTGAGGAACTCGGGGAAGTCGATTGTGCCATTACCTGTGGGGGAACAACGGGTTTTAAAAGACACGGCAAGGGCATCAAGACGTTAACACGGGAGAAGTATCTCTCATTAGAGAGAACTTGAAGATGGCATGAACCCCACCATAACTGCTAATTCATTCGCCCTTATTCCCAAGTCAATTATGACAATTTGCAAGCACATAGGAAAGGTAGGATAAACAAACACGAGACTCGCCAACTGGCAAACAATAAGGTCATTACTGAATGGTCCACGTGGTCCTCAGCGCAATCATCGCCGCACAATGGCCCACTGTCGAGGCCAGCTGGTGGAGATCCAATCAACCCATTCATAAATTATCACGAGTATCTAGTGTACAGACGCGGAGCAGAACGTAAACACTGCGCTGTTGCTGCTGTTCCTCTCCCCCTCCTCCAACCTCTTCCGTTTATTACCACTTCCCTCCAACCTCTTGCATTTTTTCCTTCTTTTCGTTTATCATCCTTCCCAAAATCCCCCTCATATTCTATTGTTTCATGTCACTTCCCAACCTCATATCGTCCTCCCCCTCTCCCCTATGCTCCCACCTACCCTCCCACTCTCCTCCCTGCCGCACTGTGCATGATTCACCCGGCCACAGCCCCGCGATGACTCACCGGCACACCGCCTGCTCTGCCCTCTTGGCTCGCACGCACGCACACACGCACAATTTCGCTCGGCTGTGATGATCTTTTATACTCGTTATGAGAGTGACAGCGGCGTCATGGCCAGAGGCTTACAATGCCTGCGGCGACGGTTGGCTCCAACTCCTTGGGGGCGAGGAGGGGGGTGTAGACAAGGTGCTTATAATACCAACCTCTTTTTTTCCTTTTAACGTTCGAAAGGGAGGGGGAGAGCAACTCCCTGGCTGATTGGCGATCTGCCGTTAGCTCATTACACTGATGGAGAAAAGGTTAGCTATAAGGTTTACCTATGGTACCGACATTGCTTTTGTTGGAACTGGAATCGCATCACCCGGAATCGAAAAAAAACAGGCAAATCCATCCGTTCTCTCTTACGTATGCTTACGGATACTTTTCCAACCCGTGAAGTGGTCGCTACATGGTTGTTTGCCATGTAGCGACCAGCTGATACGCCTCTCATGCCCTTGTTTTTGTGTCTGCGGTCATTATATTTTTCGTGCCAACTCTTTCGTTTCCTGGAAAGGCGGCTCGCTCCCAAACACTTCCTGCCATTTACGAATTTCTTGCTAAAGCTGAAGCCATGCGTGCTCGCGAGACGGCTCTATCAGCTGAACGAGGAGATCGGACATTGGGGGAAGAGAGTGCTAAGTGTGACGGGGCTAACGGTCTCGCGCCAACAGCAATCTAAAGCGGTAGATGCTATTGTACGCATCCTCCGCCGGCTCTAACTGACAAATGCTTTATCTACGGCCAGGTGCAGCCAGCGGAGGGGCAGCTCCAGTCGGGAGGATGTAAAAAATGTGGGGCGAGGAATGGTGGAGGGGAGAAGAGACGCGAGAAGAAAAAGAGAAGGAAAGACCAATTTACTATTAGTATGAGTGACTCCTGGAATTGAATATTAGGACACATTTGCCTGCTACACTGACCGTTCCAAAACGATCGTTCCAATACACAAAGGCGAGATCTTTTAGACTCCAAGCGCGTATTGCAAGCAGCGGCTTTACAAAACCAGCAAGAACCACCGCGAGCAGAGGCCCGGCCGAGGCCAGAGCGGGCGAGCGCCGAGTCGCGTTGCGCTGCGCTGCGTCCTAAGGGCACAACGCACGGCTGTATCAAAGTGCGAGTGTTTACGCGCCGAGTAAACATTCGCGAGTTGGGCTGCCACTCGCCAAACTATTTTTCTTGGGGCGTGTATACATGTCTAGCAGGAAGAAAGGGGTTTAGCTCCCCGAGAGGCTTCTTCGGCCGCGCAGTCACAGGGCGACGCGCATCCTGGGGCCGGGAGAATACCCTTCCCTCTCCCTCCCCTCCCCCTCTAATCTTCGAATGCCAACCCGTCTCGAGGGCGATTTCGCAGACCGTGAGAGAGAGAGAGAGAGAGAGAGAGAGAGAGAGAGAGAGAGAGAGAGAGAGAGAGAGAGAGAGAGAGAGAGAGAGAGAGAGAGAGAGAGAGAGAGAGAGAGAGAGAGAGAGAGAGAGAGAGAGACTTGAAGAGGTTAACACGCCCTACTCCCTCCGAGAATTCGCGTCTGGGTCGTCCTTTTGCCTTTCGCGCTACCGACTGCCAAGCGTCCGGCCCCAGCGTGTAAACGAGGTCCAGTGAATATCAAATATTAGCTTTACCATCTACAACAAACCATCAGGGGAAGGCCGTGAATATCTTCTCCGATTAGAAGTATACGAGCGAGGGAAGAAAACTATGCGGAAGTACGGTTAAGAAAGTGAGAAGAGGAAAAGAGGAAGAGAGGGAAGGAGAGGAAAAGAAGAAGAGAGGGAAGGAGAGGAAAAGAAGAAGAGTGGGAAGGAGAGGAGAGGGAGGGAGGGGAAGGAAAAGGGAAGTGGGGGAGAGGGAAGTTCCCCACGTGACACTAGAGTTCCCACGCACATTCCACAAGCTTGTGTTCTTTCCTCCGCGATCAGAGTATCAAGAGCTATTCCTATCTAGGAAAAATATTCGCGGATCGCGCGCGCGCAAAATGTCCCACGCCGAACGCCTACAGAAAACCAATAAAAAGCTTCACTTGAATAAAAAGGATGAAAAAACGAAGAAATAGAAGTCGCCTCCTCCGCACGCTGCCATGTAAGCTCGCCGCACAATACCAGAGCATCATGCAAGCCGGGCCACGCGCCTTGCCACGCCGGAGCAATCGGGTTTTCTCTCGTTCCGTTGCAACGGAAACCCTTGCAAAAGCACGACTGGTCACTGGCCATCAAGCAGAGACCTTTGCACCACTGACTTAACTGCAATACAAGGCAGTTATTATCAGTGTGTGTGTGTGTGTGTGTGTGTGTGTGTGTGTGTGTGTGTGTGTGTGTGTGTGTGTGTGTGTGTGCGTGTGTGTGTGTGTGTGTGTGTGTGTGCCGTGTGCAGAATGCGTGTGGGGATGTGGGGTGAAAGAGCTGTCTGGTGGCGAGAAATCGAGCTGTTCAAGACTGAACCGAAAAATAAAAAGCTCACCCGCACCACCGCCACCACAACGAAAAACAACCTCCATTTCGAACGGAGGCAGCCCGGCCATTACGCAACCCCACAGAGCGATTTCTCGAGCCTCCTTGAGCAACGAGACACCAGAAAGCGCGGCATCCTCGGCCCCATTACAGCAGCCGCGGCGTTGCGAGGCGGCCGGCCGAGAGTGCCACGGGACACGAGAGGCACGCTCAGCGAGCTACGTGGCACTCAGCGTATCCGGGGTGGGGAAGGGGGGAGAGAGGGAGAGAGAGAGAGGGATGAGAAGGGAAAGAGGAAAGAGAGAGAGAGAAGGAGAAGGAGAAGAGAGAAGAGAGAAGAGGAGAAGAGAGAGAGAGGAGAGAGGAGAGAGAGAAGAGGAAGAGAGAGGAGAGAGAGAAGAGAGAGAGAGAAAGAGAGAAAGAGAGAAAGAGAAAGAGAGAGAGAGAAAGAAGAGAGAGAGAGAGAGAAGAGAAAGAGAGAAGAGAGAGAGAGAAGAGAGAAGAGAGAAGAGAAAGAGAGAGAGAGAGAGAGAAAGAGAGAGAGAGAGAGAGAGAGAGAGAGAAGAGAGAGAAGAAAGAGAGAGAGAGAGAGAGAGAGAGAGAGAGAGAGAGAGAGAGAGAGAGAGAGAGAGAGAGAGAGAGAGAGAGAGAGAGAGAGAGAGAGAGAGAGAGAGAGAGACGAGACACGTGCCTGAGGCAGCGTCTGGCACTGCTGACCATCAAGGGCACCGTGAGGCCGGCCCGGGCAAACTGCGGGCGCGGGTGCCACTTTCCCCGCACGCCGCCGCGCCGCCACCGCTGCCGTCGCCCACAGGTCCCGTCAAATTCCCTTTCTCCTACAGCGTTTGGCCGATGACAGGAGCCCTCAGCCGCCCTTTTCGTCCTCGGTCCCTCTCCCCGCCCGCCCCGCCCCCCGTTGCCCGCGCCCGCCTCTATCCCATCACAGCCACAACTGCGGGTGACAGCGAACAAGAATAAATGCAATTGTTCTGCATTTTGTTCCCGGCGATTCCACCAAGATTCTGGGAACACCTTCCGGCGAGCGTCGAAAGGGGTCTAGGGGGGAGAAAAGGGGGTCTGGGGTGGAGGGTCTCATTTCAACGCCACCCTTTCGCCTTGAACTTCGCGCTCTCGAACTCGCTGAATCCGAAAGCAACACAAACCGACAGGGCAAATAACGAGAGGGAGAGGGAGAGCAAGAGAGAAAGGGGGGGGGGTGAACTGTTCACACGATGGCACCACCCGGCTCTGCGTGGCACCAGCCCAGCCAGTGCCAAGTAGGTTGTCGGGCACAAGGGACGTCGTCGTCGTCCACACTAACCCCCTCTCTACCCCCTCCCAGCCTAGTCGCCGCCACAAACCGACCCGCTAATTCCAGGAGCAGGAGAAAGGAAACTTCCGGTGTAGCGGACGCGTGAAAGGGGACGGGAACGAGCGCTCCGCCGTCGTCGCCGAGGAACATTCCAAACGGCGGGGAATTTTCTAGCGGCCAGCCCTAGAACATGCGGCGCCGCGGCTGAGAGGCTGCGATCGGGGGCTCACGCAAAGCATACGTCTTCAGTCTGGGCAGGAGTGTCTGGACGCACTCTATATGTATATGCAACTTAATACACAGGTAGTAAGTTGCATGCAAGTCGCGTGCTAGTGCAACTGTGCATGCGAGGGAGGACCCCTACCAACAAGCCCACCTAGAATGCACCGGCAATACGGGCACTCGTCTCTCCTCAGTGCCTCCTTAAAGAGCGCCTGCTCGGCCATGCCCAACACCGGCCCCCACGCCTGTCATCCAGACACGACCTGCATCTAGCGTTAGAGATCCGGAGATGATCGACGCAAAATGGGGGGAAAAATTGCAACTGATAGATAACCACAGCCAAATGTCTAAACAAAAGGATAGACTCTCCCCAGCCTTGCTTTTATCACGAGCAAAAGCTGAAGGTATGTCAGTAATCTGGCAGGCAAGCAGGCACCGCACCGCACGGAACGGCTCGACTCCAGGCATGAGTGGGCATGACATGGCGTAGTGTACCCAGTCACCTTCACGAGGTTTGCGTTGTGAGGAAATGCGGGGCTGTGGGCGACGGGGTGGGGAGGGGGGGCGGAGCGACGAAGGGGTCAGGGCGGAGTTCTTGCGAAGGTCTACAGTAGTTACCACGAGAGGGGGGAGTAGGAGAGAGAGGAGATAGTAGAGAGAGAGAGAGAGGATAGAGAGATAGGAGAGAGAGGATAGAGAGATAGGAGAGAGGGATAGAGAGATAGGAGAGAGGGATAGAGAGATAGGAGAGAGGGATAGAGAGATAGGAGAGAGGGATAGAGAGATAGGAGAGAGATAGAGAGATAGGAGAGATAGAGAGATAGGAGAGGGGGATAGAGAGATAGGAGAGATAGAGAGATAGAGAGATAGAGATAGAGAGGGGGATAGAGAGATAGGAGAGGGGGATAGAGAGATAGGAGAGAGGGATAGAGAGATAGGAGAGAGGGATAGAGAGATAGGAGAGAGGGATAAAGAGATAGGAGAGAGGGAGAAAGAGATAGGAGAGAGGGGGAGAGAGAGAGGGAGAGAGGGGAGAGGGGGGAGAGGAGAGGAAGAAAACGAGCGAGGTGATATAAAAGCGACTCCGACATCGACCGGCGAGAACTACTACCGAGCCAGTCCTTTCGGTATGATTAAAATCTTCAGATTATAGCCCCTGCCACTCCCTCCCCCTCCCCCTCCCCAAAACAATCGCTATCTTTTCATTAAAACCTGACACACCGAAATGTCGGGACTCTCTATAAATAGCATGACAGCAGTGCGACAAGTGCCAAGGCCACCGGCCCAGTATGGGGGTGGCTGTTTTCCCCTTTTTTCCTGTTAGTGCCTCGCCATCCTCGTTCCTCATCCCCTTGCATCTATGCCTTAGCTAACTCCGCGCAGGCAGGACGACGGAAAGGCCCACCGGACTCATGGCCAAGGAAATGTGCGGACCCATCGTAAGGAAAGGAAAGGTTTATCGTTTATGCGAATAGAGCGCTAGGTGATTTTATTCCGTCATTATCATATTCATACACAAATTCTTAGCGGGAATAGCTGTTTTTGTCTATGTTTATGCAAAGAGAAAGAGAGAAGAGGCAGACATTCAAGAAAAGAGGAGTGAAGGGGGGGGGAGGGGTAGGTTCCCAGCTAACCTGTATCAAAAATCAAGCCAACTGCTGACCCTTAATACCATTTTGTGTTGGAGGCCGCTACATCGGGTCCTGCTGGCTTGATGGTGTTGGCTCCGGGTATTTATATCCACCAACACGTGCTGCTCAACAGTGACTGCTGCTGCTGCTGCCACTCCTGCTCCTACTTCCGTCCGTTCTTTCCCGTCGCCAGTGGGGGCAGGACACATTTCCCTATTCTCTCTTTTCCCGCTTGTTTCAGACTTTTTAAATCTTATTTTGGACCAATAGTCTTCTCGTGTACTCGTTTGAGCGTCTTCGTCCGCACCTTCGGTCTCCCCTCTACCATCTCTCCCCTCCCGCCCGCCGTTACCCGCACAGAATGCACTGATAGAAATGTCAACTATTCATGGGGTTACCGACTGAAGACAAGCAATGTTACAGTAACAAAATCAATATCCGCGCAGGATACGTTTAAATGTAATAATTTAACCAACCTCATTAATAATCAAGTCCTCAAAACAGGAACATGATGGTGAAAACCCCTTCCCCTTTCCCCTCCATCTCCTACACCTCCACACCCACCCTACTCAGCCCCAAACCTCACCACCACCCCACATACCCCCCCCCACCCCATACAATGAACATCACCCCTTCAACTCACCGTCAGCATCCACCTCGTTGATCATGTCCTGGAGTTCGGCTTCGGTGGGGTTCTGGCCCAAAGACCTCATGACTGTGCCCAATTCCTTGGTGGTGATGGTGCCGTCGCCGTCCTTGTCGAAGAGGGAGAAAGCCTCCTTGAATTCGGCAATTTGTTCTTCGGTCAGCTGATCCGCCTGTGGAGGAGGGGGAGAGAGAGAAAGAGAGAAAGAACTGTTTTAGTACTGGGAATACAAGCGGATGATCAATAATAATTAAAACGAATAAATAATTATAATATGAATAAATGTTATAACTGTAAAACCAGGAATGGGAAAAATATGGAAATAAGATTCTAAACTTGTCCTATCCCTAGCTAAAGAAAAATCCTGCAAGTTATCAATCACCGAGTGGTAGCCATAATGTAGAACCTCAGCTCTCAGCAACTATTACTCGACATCAGGAAGCAAATCGTGGCCGCGGCAAGGGACAATGACCCTATACACTATATTTCTCAGGAAAAAGTTTCTTACGACTGGGACATGTGTTGTAGTATATGCAATGGACTATCCAAGAGGACAGACCAACAACTGAGCATGAGGGCAGATCTCTTCTAGTTGACTTTATCTATGAATTTAAAACAAAAGAGTCGAATTGGAGCCAATTTCAGAATCCTAA